AAAGCACGAGTGCCCGGCGAAGACTATCGTCGCGCCATTCATCGGCGCGCTTCTTATCTGCGTTTCTTTTCGAGGCTGCGTGCCGCGAGAGATTCACGAGGGCTCCGTGAAATTTCACGCGGGCAATTCCTTTTTTCTCTCCCTTCCCGCTTTCTCCCTTTGGCCGCGCAAAATTCGATCTCAAAGGAATTTCACCGCTTCGAATACTCCGCTCCGAGCTAATCAATTAACCGGTCGACTTTATCGAAAGAAATTCCACCGGCGGCCCTATCCGCCGGCTAGCCGAGCGAGCACAACCCAGCGCCCGAACTGTAAACTCATTCAGCTTGAGTATATGTTAATTGCAACGAGCGATAAATTTACGCGCGCCCCGAACGAACGAACGAACGAACGAACGAACGAACGAACGTTGGGGATGGTTGAATAATTCGGCGGATGAGGGATTAAATTTGAAGTGCGCTTGAAGTTGCAGCGAAGAGCGCAGCCAGGCGTACCAACGACGACGCGACGCAACTTTCGTTCGGTCTCGTTTTCAAACTACAGTCTTTGACGACTGCGAGTTTGTCCCGAGTTTTCGAATAATGATTTCCCATCGTCGTCGGCGGATCGAGTGCACTCTTTTCTCTGTCGAGGAAATCCGCGGAAGTTCGAACATACGCGTTCGAAAACGGGCTGAAATATTTTTCGACGCACCGCGATCGATAATGATTGAAGTTTTCTCTCGGCGTTCGGCGTGCGATTTTTTTTTCATTCGAATTTTTGTTAGAGTTTCCCTGGGATTCTCAACAAAATGGCGAGAAAAGATCGTACGAAGAGTTTTATGAAACGGAGATATTGCAACGAGCTCTCGAAACTCGCCGCGACGATTTTTATTAAACTTGGAACGATAGAGTTGGACGGCAGAATTTTAAAATTCGTTTGACCCTGACGACGTTCTACAAAATGGCGAGGAAAGATCGTACAACGTTGTTCTAAGAAGCGGAGATTTCAATCTTCAGAACGACGATAAACGTCGTTTGAAAGAAATTTTGTAATGTTCGAATTCGTATACAATTTTTGAAGAAAATAGTAACCTCGCTTCACGCACTACACCCACTATACCTTCAAGAAAGAAAAAGAAACAAACTCACGCTTTAAAACGAGACTTAAATTGGATCCTCTTTTTTTTTTTTACAAAGTTGAATCGCAAAGTTTCAACTTTGTCGAACATTTTTCATTGTCGTTGGTACAACAGTTATGCTCGTTGCTGGAGTCGCGACGTTTGTGTGTAGGATTGAAAAAAATAGAAGGTCCATAAAGAACCATCATTAGGAATTATATTCCTATTCAAACGAACGATTTTGTTCTTTTTTTCTTCTTTTCTTTCTTCACCGCGCGAATTTCAGAGAGACGCGGAATGGCCAGTTCGTCGTTTCACGCCGTCGCGGCCGAACAGTTAATTTCACGGTAAAATCCTTCGTTGCCTTCTTAATTTCATTAAAGCCGATCGAAACCTTTAAAAAGCTGCGCAGTTTACGCGCAACCGTGCAACACGACCTTTCGTCACTCTTCTTGCCTTCGTGCAAAAAACACGCTTCGGATGAAAGAAACTCGCAAACGAAAATTTCCATTGATCGTCGCAAAAACGAAAAACAACAACAATTCGACAAAGTAATCGCTCGGATGGATGCCAGAACACTAAGCATACATCATTTTTCAATGACTTCTGAACGATCTAGCACGAGAGAAGAAATTGCTAGCGTCTCGTTTGTTAATCCACTTGCGTTGGCGATAACCGATTGCGGACCATAACGAGCGGCCGAACCGTACACAATAATTCGTCGCTTTCTTTTCGAACTCTCGCCGGATAGAAATGATCGAGAAGCAATAAATTTATCATTTGCTTTGCAATTGGGTTCTACTTCAGTATACTTAAAAACTGAGGAAATATATATATATATATATATATATATATTGCAATTTTGGAGCAAAAAATATACTCGACGAGCGTGGCACGTCATTCCAGCGCAAGAGGTTAAAAACTTGTTCAACTCGTTGCTGTTAAATATGCTTTAGGAGAGATTTAGCGGCGACATCGGTTGGTTCTGCTCCGTCGTATACTCTAATAAATATCATCGCCATAACTCGATCCAATGTTCATTTACACACGGTGATGTACAAATTGACTCGAATCGAGAACGTCTATCGGAGAGCAACATTGCTATCGTTTTTCGTCAAATTTTAAAGCGAACAGTCGCCCACGAGCCTGTTGCTGACGCGTTACCCGTTTCATTTCTTTGCGTCATTTGTTTATTCGTTGCTTGTTGCAAAAAAAAAAAAAGAGAAAAAGACAAGGATCGATAGACAGACGAAGAAATTGGCGCAATTACGCTTCATGAAGAAGAAGAGAAACTGCTAGAAAACGAGAGATCCGTAAAATCATCGGGAGAACTTGCTGCTTTTCGTCGCGATATAAAGAGCCGGAGAAAAGAATGAAAAGTTCACTCGCAAGAGAAAAAAAAAAAAAGAAAATAAAGGAAAAAGAAAAGTAAACAACGGCTACTTGAGAACTGCCTTCGTGAGCAGGATCGAACCGAAGACGCTAATTTCGATGAAATGTCTCGCGTAGCCTCGCGCACAAATAACTTTCGAAGCCAGACAGAAAGGAAAACGAGATCTGCTTGACGAAAAGTCTCTCGCCTGAAACAATCGGAGAAACTTCGCGAGCGAACGCGTCCTTTTTAATTAAAACGAGGCCGGCCGGATCGATCAAATTTCATCCTGCGAGAGTTATTTCGATATTCTTCGGGCGCCTCCTCCTCATCTTTCGAAAATTCGCAATTTCGTCGACAGACGAGTAATTATAGATTGACTAATAAAAAAGGAAATGAAGCACGGCGCGGAGATATTTTTGGAGATACGGAGTCACCTTGGCAGAGGTAGGTTCACACCGATATTTGCTGCTAATCTCGCTGCTCGTTCGAATTATCTCCCCATTGGAATACGCGTAGAATCCGAGAGGAACGATTTCAATCCCCTCGCAGTTGCAGTCTTCGAAAGAAAAAAAAAAAAAAAACAAAGAATGAAGAGTAACGAATCGTTCACCATCAATCCAGAGCGAAACCAAAGTCAGAACGAAAGTCCACGAAAATTTTCAGAGACTCGAATACAACACAGAAGAATCGACCGAGATTCACTCGAGAAGGTAACATTTCCGGTCATTGCGATCGATGAAGAAGTAATCGCTATCAGGTGTCGTAATTAGCGTACATTGTCTTCTTTTAACCTTTTTCACTCTCTTTTATTTTTTTCCTCGCAGTAATGTATTTACATTTTCCACGGGCAAAGAAATGTAGTACAAAATTGTACGAAAAGTGATACAATTACCAAAAATTTCAAACGCAACGAGGTACGAGACCGAGTGAAAAATTATGAGTAACGAGCGTTTTAAAAGATAGGAATGAATGGGTTCGAAGATACGTGTTCTAAAATCACAAGGCGTAATTTTCAGAATCCAGGGCGACAATTTCGACGAAAGGAGAGAAGGAGATCCAAGGATCCACCGCGATAAACAAAACAATGCCACGTTGTCGTGAAACCTTGCGAGCGCGCGTGCACGTAAGTGACAAGTGGCATCGGCGCTCGACGCGTTTTTCAAGCGGGTCATCGTACCCGCGGAGAAACGGGAAACCTGTCCTCGATGGTCGTTTTCACCGCGTTGAAAAGGAGCGCGATCGACGAACTCGAAATCGAACGCCGGTGCTGCTTCTGGCCGGGCGGTCGCGTTTCGCGATCCGAAACGCGAACCTGGCAGCTTGCCCTCGTCGATTCTCGCTCTCGCGCACCCGGTGAAATTTCCTCGTCGTTCGTTCGACGACTTCTTTCGTCGAGCTTCCCTTTCGAGTGCGAAGCTTCTCCTCTTCTCGAGCTCGAAAGGGACGCGAGAGAGCGAGGTTTGACTGACGCGCGAGGTCTATCCGACGGAGAGCGAATCGAGTTCCCCGATGACACTCGCCGACGGCCACCAACGAGCTTCGATCGAGCTCTCTCGTTTCCCAAGAAATTTATTTGCCGAGCAAAGGCACACGCGACACCGAGTCCATCGTCTATGTGTCACCTGAGCAACAAACAGTCGATTTACCGCGAGTAAATCTTCAAAACCAGCCGATACTCCGAGATAGATTTCGAGCTGTCGGCGAAGAATTCTAACGGCAGACCGAATTGTAGATCGAATTTGAACGATACGTTGACACAGGCACCGGTCTGTCTTTACGACGGCTTCTTCGTCGTAGCTCGCAGCTCGACGCGATCTCCGAATAGAGAAACACTCCGGTTTCCAAGTTCTCTTCTCGGCGAGGAGAACTCTGCGTGACGTGAAATGGATGACACAGGCCAGGATCCGATGTAAAATTCAATACCCGATGGAGAGCGTTTTTCCCTATCTGGGTGGAGGATCTTTTAGAAAGTTTGGATATCGAACTCAGGTCGCTTTAGATCAGAACGGATGATAGAGACGAACGAGGGAGAGAGAGAGAGAGAGAGAAAGAAGAAGAAGAAGAAGAAGAAGAAATGCTCGCAAGTCTTCGCCCTTGTCAGATGGGATAATCACCTATCATCCGTGGTTATAGATTACAACGATAACATCGTTCATAATCGAAGAAGAAGGAGGAGGGAATCACTCGCTGGTACGAGAACACGGTTCGTCGTACGAGAAACAATCGCCGACTACCAAGATTTCTTCGAGATGAAACGAAACGAAACGAAACTTCAACGTCCCTCGATCTTTCGAAAGACTGCGAAACACACAACGTTTGCAAAAATGTTTGTCAACGTGTTTTTTCCACAACTGATTCACTGTGTTCGCGCGACTGTGAAAAACAGAGAGAAAAAAAAAAAAAAAGAAAAAGAACGAGACACTACTCCCAAGAGTACAAGGAGCACTGGAGGTAGTTACGCGCTACATTTCCTAGGCTTTCGGATTTCTCGGTACGCCACTTGTGTGTAGGTAATTTGTCACTTACGGGTCTCGTTCACGTTTCTAACGGCATTGATCAGCAGAGGGCCCTGGACAAGATCCTCCTCGAGGTGGGCACGGCTGGGTCGGGCCTGCTTTCTCCGTGACATGCCTGTCTAGCCTTCTGTCGGTGTGCTTCTCTCGCAGTTTTGTTCGGCGATCCGTTTGGCTGATCCGTCTGGAGGAACGTTCGCCGGATGGTATTATCCGGGAGCGAAGGCAAGAATTCTGCCGCTCAGACGGCGGCGGGCCGACGCGTAATCGGGCCACGCCGCGGCGAGGGCCGCGTCGGTTCCACACTCGGCGATTCCGGTCGCAGGTTAACCGAATCACTGCTGTACTTCACCATCGACACTGTCAGGGAGCCGCACCTCCCCTCGCGCGCTAATCCACTTCCTGAACGATCCCATGCGGAAGGAACACGGCGTCGGCGGCGGCGGCGGCCAGTTGTTTCAACTCGCGGGCCAGTAATAACACACTCGAGCCATCCCGTGGTCACCAGGGGACTGACTCTTATTCCCCGCGGCACTCGTCGGAGTTTCTGCGATTCGAAACACGCTGTGGCACGTGGCTGTCGCGGCACGGCGTTCCTCTCCACGGAACGAGAAACTCTCGCTCTCTCTCTCTCTCTCTTTCCTTCCTTTTCTCTTCCCCTCTGTTCTACACACTGAGCGACGATCTGGCGCGTTTCGCTTCTCTCACAAGACACTTTTTTTCCAAAACTTTTTTCCCTCAAAACTCGGTTTGTTACTCGCGTACGGACCACCTAGGAGGACACAGGACACCGGTGTGCGCACGTGTGCCACCGATCGAGCGAAAGAGACTCTTCTTCTGTCCGTCTGTCTTACGCGGGACACCGCGTGCGTGCGTGCGTCGTGCGTGCGTGCGTGCGTACGTACGTGCGTGCTTACGTTTCGTTCGTTCGTCGTCGCTGGCTACGTGGTTGCTTGGCTGCGTGCGTGCGTCCGTGCGTGCGTGCGTCGCTACGTACGTGTGCGAACCTGTGTATATATATATATATATATATATATGTATGTATATATATATACATATGTGTGTCGTGTGTACGTGTTTGTGTACGTGTGTGTGTGTGTACGTGTGTGTTTATGATTCTATATCTCTCGCGCGAAATCCGCGGCTCTGGTGCCTCGAGTCGGCCGGACGACGGACGGACCAGCTCTGGGCCTGACGTCGCGACGCCCCTCTCCTGCGCTCGCCGTCGCCGCGTGGTGGGGGACGGAGGGGAGAGGCCTGCGCGCGCCTGCCTCCCCACCACCTCGACCGCCGGCCGCCCCACCATCGCCCTCCACACCCCCACCAACGCGCCGCTCGCTCGTCAGGGGTGGGATCAAGTTCAATGTGTACTCATGAATCTGAATCAATTCGATAAGTAAGTATAGTAGTCGAAAGAGAAAAAAGAATTATTCCTATAGCCCGGTGAAGCGTTCGACTTCCGTTGCTATTCAGCTTACGTATGCGCGCGCGTATACGTGTGCGCGCGATGGTAAATTAATCGCTGCTCGCCGAGGCGCAACGTGGGAACTTGACGAAGCCTACTACTATACAGGGGGACATACAGAGCGTTTAACTATGAAATACTAATTCCGAAAGTTCCTCGCCGGTTCTATCCGTGCTGTGGATCGCGGTCTACTTCGCGGAATCCGGCTAATTTTATGCCGCGGCGTCGTGCTTGCTCCGACCGTTTCGTTTTCCGTCCTCCGCCATTTGTTCCGCGAGAAGCTTCCCCGTTATTACCGCGGTGTAACGAGCGGGGCTCGGCGCGGAAAAAAAGAAACGGGGCTCGGCGTTTAGAGCGAGGGAGATCGCGGTGAGAAATCTGCGCGCGGTTATTAAGCGAGACACACACACACACACACACACACACTAGCCGCCCGCGCCTCTTTAGCGCGTCATAAGCAATAATGAAACGCATCGGGGAGCAGGTAGGTGCGCGAGCAAGAAAAGATCCGCGTTTTGTCAGGATACAAATAACTTCCCGACCTTCCTTTTCTCTTATAATCGCGGCATTGTCTCAGCACCTCTTCGCCGAATTCTCTTCGCGAAGGAGAAACGTAAAAGAAATTTTCCTCTCACCGTGCAACTTACGAGAGAAAGATACGATCTGTACGATCTACGATCTACGTCCGTTGTTTCAGTTGCAAAAACGCCCGCGATATAGCAGGTTGGCCGAAAGGAAAAGCCGAAAATTTCCGCGTGACGGGCCTCGGATGATTTTCCGTTCTGGATGAGCCTTGGTCGTGTTTCTCTACACTCCCCCCACTCGTGCCGGGTCTCGGCCGGTTCCCCTTCCGGCGCGTGTTCCCCCCACCAGGCGCCAGGTCGCGCGGGGCGTGGCCTGCGTCACACGCCGCCCCGCCCCCTTATGCATTATTATAGCAAGCCACTCGTGTCTCTATGATTTTATATGCCGCGTGAATATTCTACCGGTGGCTTCCCCTCCGCGCGCGCGTGCCACGCTCGCCGATTGTATTCTCGTCGCGCTGACGCGGTTTTTATAGCCAATGCCGGGGAAATGTTGCGGCGTCGGCCTCTCTCTCTCTCTCTCTCTTTCTCTCTGCCATCCGCTCTCGTTCGGCATTATAGGACGTGAACGAGCCCAAGGTATTGATGTTTTGTTAATGTTTCTTCGTTTCTTTCCTGCCTTTCGGCTCCCGACTCTTGGAAATTAACCCTTCTACCTTTTGGCGCGAGATGCGAAGCTACGATAAATCTGTATAATCGTAGGAAAGGATAGTCGACTTTTCTTTTTTTTTTTTTTTTTCTTCTCTTCGCTAGAAATTTCGCTGGTCCGCAACTGGTCCTCAGAAGTCTGAGAGGGATGGTTCACAGCCCTTAAAACGCTCGCTCGAAGAAATAATAGTCGCCCCTCGCGGCGCGTGGCCTCGTCTTTAAGGTGTCAGCGTGCTTTAATCTTCGAGAGCCTCCGGCCCCTACTTCCTTTTACCCGTGGCTACCTTTTCGCTTTGAGGCGGCCGGTTATACTCTATCATGCGATGTCGGAGGGGGAGAACAGGTGGATCGTAGGAGTATCGACGATTCGACGGAGAGAGGGACGGTATGGGGTAAGACGAGAAGGTCCAAGGTTCAGGTGCTGGCAAAGATCCGCCGGTTGCGTGCACTTTTATCGCGGAAAGTATACCTTCTCCCACTTTCTCTCTCTCTCTCTCTTTCTTTGTCTCTTGGTTTCTCTTTCTGTGTGTGTGTGTGTCTGTTGATCCTTCCGGGCTGCACCTTGAATCCGGCGGTGGCGGATGCTCTTGGCTCACGAGGGAGCAACCACCGGGTTTCTTTGTGGATTTGCGCTTTTGTACGGTGTTGCTTCTTTGCGGGCGACGATCGCTCCGAAATGGTTTTCAGGCGCCCGTTTTCGCGGTTTCGAGATACACTCGGTCGTGAAGGCGATGATGGAATAATGAATGGGGTATTATTGATCACCCTCGCAGCGGATATTGTGCAGGTACTTCCTTTCATCCGCGTGACTTATAACTTAGCCTGATTGCCGTGACTCATCATTTCGAGCGTATTAACACGCTTAGCTGATAGGTACTTATATCTATATTGTGATACTGACACGTGGGTGTATTTATCTTACACTTTGCGCCGGAACATGTTCTATGATGTATAATGTTATTTGCACTGCTTCAATTGCTGTGTGTCATGCTTTACTATAATACAGACAGATCTACTACAATTTAATATCTTCGTTCTAACGTCGTGACGTGATTTTGTGCTATTATGTTCATATTGAATTCTGTTATGTTTGTCAGAGTTAATATACACTTCTATTATTAGAAATGACGTATCGCCGTGTATTTTATTAGACACGCGATCACTATCTTACCTGTCTTTCTCAACTCTGTCGAATTATCAGTCATCTTACACAAGATAATTGCTTCATCTTTTTTTTTTTTTTTTATTATTCGGTCGATAATTATCCAAAAAATTCTGTTAACTTCTCACAGAGAAACCTATACCCGAACCATCGATTCTATTCTTACTCTCGAGCTCGCGAAAACTATGTAGCGCGGGGTTTACAAAACACGCATTTTCCTACCGGTGCAAGTATTTGCACGCGCATTGTGAGACGTGAAATTCAGGTGTGGACGAGCGCTAAACGAACAACAAACACACACCCCTGTGAAACACAGTTAAAGCATTAACACTCGAGAGCGACTGTGGCTCTTCCCTCGTCTCTGAATTATTTTACGACCGGTAATTTTTGCGCGGCCATCGGCTGCTCACCGGTAGCTAACAGGTAAAATAGAGGAAAGGGTGGCTGAAACAGGCGCCGGCGCCTGCTTTTGACACCTGCGGCGGCGAATTTTCACCCTCGTCCTACCTGCCTTTCCCAAACGTTCAATCCCAATTGAACGCGTCACGATAAATAATTTTTACGTGCTGTTGGAATTTCCCTCGCCTCTCAGGCCGATGGGATTCGGTCGCGATGACTTACCCCCGTTAGGGTAGTCTGCGTTTCCCTTTCAACCTCTTGCGCTGGAATGACGCGTCACGCACGTCGAGAATTTTTTGCTCCAAATTGCAACGTTTCCTTCAGTTTTAAGTATATTTAAATATAGCACAGACAAAACGAATGATAAGTTCATTACTTCTTCTTAATCATTTCTATCCAGTGATATCATACCGGCAAGTTCGAGAGGAAAAGAAAACGACGAATTATTGTATACGGTTCGGTCGCTCGTTATGGTCCGCAATCAGTCGCCAGCGCAATGTCGTTTTCTGACACTGTAGAAAATTTTATTTTATTTAAATGTCGATTTAACACCTTTAATCTGTAATATAATTTAACAATAAACACACAGGTTATGTTATAACATATTATATATTATATATTATGTAATATAATTTATAATATAATTTAATATAATATAATATAATTAATATAATTAATATAATATAATATAATTTTTAATATAATCTATGTAATATAATTTAACAATAAATACACAGGTTATGTTACAACATATTATATATTACATGTTATAGCGTAACATGTTATAACAAGTAAAATTATATATTTAAGTAAAACGAAATAGGCAAAACGAATGATAAATTTATTGCTTCTTAATCATTTCTACCCAGTGACGTTACACTGACGAATTCAAAAAGAAAGCGACAAATTATTGTATACGGTTCGGTCGCTCGTTATGGTCCGCAATCGGTCGCCAGCGCAAGTGGTTGAGAGATTCTTCGTCAAACGTCTCGTTTCGCAACACTTCGGGCGATAAAAATTATTCCTCCAGAATAGAAAAGGAATCGTCTGCCTCTTGTTTCGATTTCAATTTCAATTGCAGGTGAGAAAACTGCAAGCCTTCGGAAATTTATTAATTTATGTAACCAATATCTGCGAAATATTTTCGCGATAGTTGCAGCGTCTCTGTATTACTTTTTCAAAAAAAANAAAAAAAAAAAAAGAAAAAGAAAAAGAGCAACTGAGATAAAACGTATGTACATTCGTTGTACTTTTTTTCCTTTTTTTTTTTTTCGTTTTGTTTTAGTTTGTTTTTTCTAAGCAAACCAGACAAAAATTTGTTGAAAAACACACGGCGACGCGGCAGCTTTTGTTTCACCTTTTCCCAAACATTTCGGCAAGCTGCTAAAGGGTTAAAGGGCCGCAGAAAATACGCTGCAGCAGGTGGCGGGTGTCTGGGGCTGCTAACACCCTTCGGAGGGGGTGGAGGAGGCCCCGGCAAATCGACGTCGTTTAGATTGCGCTGCATTCAATTAGGCCGCCGGATAAAGAGTCACGTCGCTTTCACCGGCCGAACCTTCTGTTCTCTTCTCCCTTCTTTCTCTCTGTTTTTCGGGGCTGTTCATTTGCCTCCGCGCGACTTTCAAAAGAAGGAGGGAAAACCCCGACGTACGTACGCTCGTCGAAAAGGGATCGCCCCCGTTCGATTCTACGTTTCTATTTCCATTGTCGGTTCAT